CAATTCCGAGATGAAGAGATCCACTTGCGAGTCCACTCTTCTCTCCGCGAAATAAGATTTTAATTCGATCGACGCGTTGTTGCATCGTTGTCGTAAAAAAAAAAAAAAAAAAGACGCACGATCGAATTCAACGAGCGATTTACGCGCTGAGAGCATCGAAAAATTGGTCGGATGAATCACAATTTTCCAATACTACACGGTTTTCCCCGTTTTTAATACGATTTTAATGAACCTCACCATGTTTCATAGAACGCGCGGATCGATCGGAAATCACGGTTGTATATTTATTGCATTTAATTATTGGCTAATTGGGTCGAGAACCGTTTCTACTGAATTTATAGCAAATTTACAGGGTGCTTCATCACAGGTAGCAAAACTACTTCGACGAAAGATTAAAAGAAACGAAACGAAACGAAACGAAACGAAACGGAGGAAACTCGCATAAACTACTGTGAATTCTACTTAACCTCGTTTTCAAGTTATAATCATTTTTATAACTGGCGAGAACGTGCAAATCTTTATTTTCGCGCGAATTGCTTGAAATTGTTACTTTTTAGATTCTTAATCTTTAAAAACTCGGAGGCTACATCATCAAAAGCTACACACCAACGAAAACAATTTTATTTAAAACTTTCACGGTTTTTTTATTACACGAAGAGAATAAGATCGTAACTTTGATCGCAATTTTCTATCTCGATAATAATTGTGAACGTTACAGCACAAGTTCGGGCAAATGGGAAACGAGGTTAGTGGCTGATTAACCAAACTCCATCCAAGCCGTTCCTATCGATTGGATTCACTTATCTGAAAGTGAACCCAACCTATTACTTGAACGAGAAGTCGCAGGTGGCCGCAGGGAAGAATCGGTGAACTCCTATTACTCCCGTTACACAAATCTGTTTGCCCCTTGAATTAAACCGGTTACCACGATAAACCTCGTAATTAATTCGAGCCAATCAATTCGAAAAATAAATTTTCGACCCCCCCCCCCCCCCAATAATAATTGATAAAATCAATTTAAACGATATTCGAACGGAAAGAAAGACAGTCGAGTGAATTCGACTCCTCTTAAGAAATCGGGCCACCACGCTCGTTGAATCGTCTCTGCAATCCCGGAGAAAGTAATGGAAAGAGAGTGGGATAGAAGAGAAAAAAAGAAAGAGAAGGGAAAAAAATAGGAACTATCCGGCCGGATTTCGATCCGGCGCGCCTCCAGCCTCGCCTCCTCGTCGAGATTCATTAATGCTCGATGCGCATTAGCAAACAAACATCGCGTGCCTCGATATCGTCGGTCAGCCAGATTCGCCAGCCAGCCAGCCAGCTTTTATCGAAATTAAACGAAAGATTAAATATACCTCTGGGGAACGGACGTCATACATCCGTTGAATAAAGATCAAACCAAGTTTCTCATCGACCCTTCAATCGCGACGAATCGTCTCCCCTTTCTCTCTTCTCTCGGATTATATTAATTCGAGATTGATATCGAATCGAACGAATCGAAGGATTTTCCAAGAATCTTAAATTCCGATGTAAGGCGAGTTTTAAAATCGGGGGAGGGGGTGATATTTTGAAAATGTCAAATCCTGTGAAAGCCGGACGATGCCTGATCCCCGTGAAACATCGGCGAAAATTTCATCGAAACCTCGATAGAATTTTCATTCCAAATTTCCAGAGGGGCGAGAAGAAACGATCCCGCGATCTTTTCACGGGACATTTGACGAGGGAATTCGAGAATTCTAGGTATCCTATCGTCCATAGTTTCCGTCTTCATTCGGGGGGGAGAAATAAAATTTAATTTCCTTTCTACGAGGGAGGGAGGAAGGGTCCTCGTCCACACTGATGAAAGCGTGGTCCGTTGTTCGAGGGGTCGAGCTTTTTCATTCCTAATATATTTCGGATTAATCGATATCGAATCTGCGTTAAGGACGGGGAGGATTGTTGAAAAGTGGCGAAACGGTGGGATATTGGAACGTAATGGGAAAGGAATGGACGTTCCAACAAGTGGAGAGGGGAAGAAGGAAGAGAAGATTTTTCGCTATTTTCACTACGTGTAATGCCGTATCCTTTTTATCGAAATACGTTACGTTACGAGGATTGTTGAAACTGAACACGTCATTCCTATGACGTATTCTTCTAACGAATAAACGGAGTAGGGGTTATAAAGGCAATTTGTTGGTATCCAAACTGGTCTGATTAAATTGTACCACTTGTGGATACGACATTAGAATTACGTCAAAGGGCCGTTACGTTCTTCGTTAAACGCGTTTATACACAGCCAATTAGAAACAAAGCGAAACAGGGAACTCTCCTTAATTATCCACGAGCAAGACCGGCCGCCGCATAGTGGTACTGTCCATAAAACAATGCAATTCCCCGGAAACTATTTACGACTTAGCTATCTTGAATGACAGCACCGATCCTCGACTCGACGGTTGAGAGGGGAACAACCGAGCCATCACGGTTTTTCCCCCATCCCTCTCCGAATTTTTCCAGGAGAAACTTTTTAAAAGAAAAGAAAAAGTAACTCGTAGACGCATGCAGGAATGAAACGTGAAAATTCTCTTTTCTTCTTCTCTCTCCCCTCTCTTTTTTTTTGTTGACACTATAGCACTATTAGCGCGACGAAAGGCGGGAGGGGAAGGGAAATAAAGCGAGAAGAGCTCGCGAGAAGAGAAACCCTCTTTTGGCTTATCTCCGTATCGCCTAGCCGTCGCATCTTTGTTCGGTTGATATCACAATGCGAGCGAGGAGGAACGCCCTCGAGATTCTAATTTGAGTGGAAACACGCGAGGAGGGTGTCGTCTAGAAGCGACTCGTCCAGACTGCTCTGGAGCAAGGACTGGATGGGGATGGAGGGGAAGGGAGACACGAAACGCAGCTCCGCTTCGCGAAAACCGTTGGGATGAAGAGGACCATCAGACTGTGGGGATGGTGAAAAGAGAGAGAGAGAGAGAGAGAGAGGAGGAAAGAAAGAAGCCTCGCGCGTGTGTCGTGATTTCGTTTCGCGAAAAAATATATGAATTTAACAATTGAGAGAAATAAATATATCATGAGTCTGGATTATATATAAGGAGAATGCGAACGTTTGTAACGAGTGACAAAGAAAGAAATGTATTTGGAAGAAAGAATAAAAATCGAAATAAATATTTTAAACGAAATATGAACGATTTATCTAATAATTGCCAAATTGATAAACTTTCTATGGTGAAGAAATCAGAGGTTCTCGAAAGAGATCGGCAAAAAATAAGCGCTTCAACATATATATATATATAATCGATTTTTACGATAACTTTTCCCATCCGAAAAATATATTAACTTGAAAATTTTTCAATCTCCAACTCCGAGGACGATGTTATATTTTTATACAACGACTCTTCTATCTGGAAAAATATTAACTTGGAAATCTCCAATCTCGAGAATTTCGAAGGAAACGTTCTAAAAATAAGAAAACTCGTCTGCTCGCGAGTTATGAACGACAACTAACGGACTTATTTCGATAAGAAACGATACGACGAAAATACGACGAGAGCAATGGACGATGGAAAAACGGCGCCAATTAAACGGACGTAGGTAGCTACAAAAATAATCGAGGTATATATCCCGGGGCGGGAGGAACGAACGCAAGTGAAAAGAAGAAGAAGACTAGCGACGAAAAAGAAGAGGAGAGAGAGAGAGGAAGGAGGGTTTGATCGAGTGATTAGGAGGATAAGATTCGATCGAGTCGAACGAACAACGAGAAAGTTTGACAAGTTTGGATAAAAGGAAGGAAAATAATAATCGAGAACGGAAGAAAGGCGCATGCGCAAAGTAGAATGCGAAGAAAAACTACGAGCGAGGATCAAGCAAATGGCTCGAGGCTGTGACTCGTGTTAACGGTGGTAACTGTTGGGGCTTTCGCCGGCAATGGAAAGGCAAATCTTTCGGTACACGTCGTGTATTTATCACCTTTCTTGCCAAGTTTAATTTGTAGGGATTTACGAGGATATTTGCGTTATATATACGTAGGGATGATACTCGATATTTTTCACTCGAAATATGAAGATAATTAATTTCACGAGAGAAAGAAGCGACGAGCACAAATTCTTGCTTCCAACTTTCGAATATCTGAAAGTTTTATATATATATATATATATATGTTATAGTCAATTTCTCGTTTTCTTTCTTCTTTCAAACTCGTCGAAACTCACTTTTGAGGGGCAACTCTTCACTCGACATCCTTCAAAGAAACATCCACGATACAAAAATAGTTTATCAATTTTCCTGCTTTCACGCTGGGCAAAATCGGTCGAAATTTTCCTCTCTATTATAAACTCGAGTACGGGGACGTTTGCGTCCCCGGAAAATTGAAAATCCGCACCGGCTAGAAATGATTCAAAGGGCCGTCATTAAAGGAACAAATGGGAAAGAATTCCAATTGTTCGCCATGTTTCCACGGAATAACGTTTGCAACGATATTACGAGAGAGGAAGTGCAACGGATACTTCTCTCTTTATCATCGCGCTTCTTCGCGCGTTCCTCGTCGAGTAGAAGTCGCCACGAATTTCGCAATCTGAATATTTTATATATAATATATATATTATATATTAAATATATAAAAATATTTATTTTTTATATATTTTTCGCGACATCGAACATTGAAGTTTCGATAACGAAACTTTTGCAAACTCGAGAAATTATTTTTTCGTGTTCTCTAAATTCTTAGAAGATACAGGTATACAGATGTATACATAAATCTGTCTATATTTATATTCTTTGAAAGAAAAATCGTGTGCTATCGAGGGTAGAATTGAGAATTGGCATTTATTTATGCATGAATCTTTTCAACGTGGAACACGAGATGATACGTTCGTTTCCTCCTTCGGTTATTCGATGATGATTTCAGCAGCGAGCGCAGCTGTTGGTTTAGGATTAGGACGATCTCGATTGGAGGGAACACAATACATGAAACGCGAATCTGCGGTTTGGCAAGAAGCAAAAGTCGATAGAAGAAGGTTGCTTACGTTTTCGACGTCGAAAGGTAGTCGACCCGGAATGTACGCGTGGAATGGAAAAACCTAATTTCGTCATATCTCTTCTGGCGGGCTGTGCCAAAAAATCACTTGCCAATAATGCACTCGATGCGGCCGTGTTACACGGATTTTCAATGAGTAGAAAAATTTTCCAAATGCTTGAAACTTTTGCAAATTAAAACGTACAATTTTTTTTTTTTTTTTTTTTTTAATCGAGTATTTTTTTCT